AATGACAACAGCGACGCCATGTTTGTTTGTAAACACTGAAAGTCATCCCTTTTTGATATTTGCATCTCTATCCGCATATGATCGTTTTTATTCGTTGTCTTTATCCTACCGAGAAATCTGCCCACTATTTGATAAACACATTTACCACACCACCAATCACAGAATAGGTGGACTTCTTTATTTGTATACATGTATACTTATTGCCTCAGGAATTGATCTTAATGGAATCACGCTTTCCTGATAAAATGATCCATACTGACTTTCCCCAGTTTTTCTGTCCAAATGATCAACACTGATACTACCACGCCATTCTGTCCATCCTGACACAAGCACACTTTTCTGTTAAAAGTGATAGATACTGACACAAACACATTTGTTGTCTAGGTGCTTCATACACAAGCTCACTTTTCTGTTAAAAGTGATGGATACTGACACAGACACAGACACATTTGTTGCCTAGGTGCTTCATACACAAGCACACTTTTCTGTTAAAATTGATGGATACAGACACAGACACATTTGTTGTCTAGGTGCTTCATACACAAGCACACTTTTCTGTTAAAATTAAATGGATACTGACACAGACACATTTGTTGTCTAGGTACTTCATACACAAGCACACTTTTCTGTTAAAATTGATGGATAATGACACAGACACATTTGTTGTCTAGGTGCTTCATACACAAGCACACTTTTCTGATTGAATGTCCCCGTATAGACCCTGGTTAGACTTGGTCCCGCAGCATGCCTTTGCTCGTCGTACGAGGCGACCACATTAGATTGGGTGGTCCGGCGTGCGTGTTACAGTGTACCAGTGATACGGGTCGTACTTCCAGCCGCTTGTGTGCCTGGTTCACCCTCGATTTACAATCAATCGTGATATTGCTGGAATTTGGCTGCAGTGTGAAACAACATGACACTGGTTTTAAATTCTAGGTTGGTGCATACAAGAAGGAAATCCTGTTTGTCAATAATATCAGATATGTAATAACAATGATGGTAAATACTTAAATATGTGTAAGGTAATTCAATAAAAAATATTATTCTGTTAGCATTGTACTCGTGATGAGGGAATTATGGTATGTGATGGATATATGAAAAGTCGGATGTATGACCGTCTACCATGGAAGCGCCACAAGCTATTTTTCATACTAGTATCTGGTGTTTCAGAAATGGGTTCGAATAAATGTTTTGAATTTAAATGAGATGGATGAATTATAACACTAGATACTCTCAACCAGACAGCGCTATATTCAAATGGTCAACGCTAGATAATAACATGTCTCGATCATCTGCCGACACGGATAACACACGGCGTAAAAGTCGAAATGGTAATGAAGATTATATGGATGCTACCTGGCAATATCAAGATCATTTAAACTATCCAGATACATAAACTACACATTAACAACCAAGGACATAACTCTATATTAAATATATTTCACGCAGAAGTGTTAATCCGCTAAGTTGACAATGTTTTTGACAAAATTAATTCATTTCACTGTGAACTAAAAGAAAAAAAAATAAAGAGAAAAAAGAAATAGAAAAATGCTTGGGTGTCTATTAAGACATAATAACTGTATATTTCTTAAAATCAAATAATAGAGTACATGCATGTTAATATAACGACTTGCTTGGAGATACATGTCTTAACTACTTTGAACTGATCGTCAACGATACAAATGAGTCGAAGATTTGCAATAATACATGGTACTGCGAAAGCCCAGTAAGAATTACATCAATCGAAAGAAATTTTATGTTTGGATTTCAAGTTGATAACTGCACTCATTCCAGCCTATCGTTGCCAAACCGTAACAGAACAAGTGTAGGCTCTTAGCAGACCAGCAACCCCATTCTATCGATATACGTGTAGCGGTTTATGTGAATTAAATCCGATAGTTGATTACAGTAATCTGTATTACGACTAAATTGCCGTGGCGAGTATTGCCGATCTTGTGAAACCCCCCTTAATAGCCTCTGATGAATCGTCTTAATAAGAGCTAACGCGGCTGAAATGTCAAGCCGAGTCACGTGACTGATCTAAGTCATCGATCGAATATTCGTTAATTTTTTACTCGATAAGACTAAATTTTTATGGCCCGCCTCTCTCAAACATCGATTCCAAGAACAAAACCGTCCACTGGGATGGAATATTATTTTCTCTCTTTCAGGGTAATTTGCTGAATATATCCCTGATGGTTATTTGCATAGATACGTAAATGTAGGGAGTAATTGACTGATACAAAGAAACAGCTAGTATTTTGTGGACAAAAAACGACTCCTTGATTCAATCACATCGTAATGTCACCATTAAGCGGCCCCTTGTTGGTCATCAAGGACTTACAACATGACAAATTCTCAGTTCCCTTGTATCCGATGATTCCCGAGTTTTGTATAATGTAAAGAAAGTTCGTTTACAATCACTCGTATACAATGAAGTGGATAACACTAAATCACACATAACGGAATATCCACTGCTGATAAAGCGCTTGGGGTTTTGAAATTTGCTGACTGAGCATAAAATGTAGCTGTCGTCGTTTTATCAGTGAGTATTGTTTTACGACGCTTTTAGCAATATTCCAGTAATATCACGGCGGGGGACACAAGAAATGGGCTTCTCACATTGTACCCATGTGGGGAATCGAACCCGGGTCTTCGACACTTAACCACTGGGCAACCCCACCTCCCCCGTTGTTTTATCAATAAATTAAGTTCTATTGGTCCATTGTACAATTCCGACTAAATCATGAGCCTGTGTTTATGAATCACTATCAAATAGTAATGATGCCAGGTGCTCGCGAAAAGGTGAGCGTATCCTGCCACACCGGTGGCACCTGTCACAAACACATGCAAAGGCAAGTCAATTGTTCACCTGAAAAAACATGGTAAAAATGTAATGATTAGAACGAGTACGTAATATATGGTTGTCATTAACATCGATAAGAAGTTATCCTATTGTATGTACACTGTGTATCCTAAGCACAGAAGAACAAGCTTGACTTTTGATTCATAGAATTATGCTAAATTTAGAACCAACGTCAAATTCTTGCGAAGGAATCTGGAAGCAAACTTAATCTAACTGACCAAAATCACTGAACCCCACCTAACACGATTAATCGTTGATCGATGCTTCCTGCAAAGAGAACATTTCTGCTGTCTATTTATAGATTTAACATAAAGCACACTGCTTGGTGCTTCTTTTTATTCGATTCGGAGTCATGGTTTACCGTACTTGGAAGTGCGGAGGGATCTCCACATACCGACGTTAAGGAACTCAGTCACGAGGATCCAATACAGATATTACCAATTCCAATTGCCAATTGATTTGGACGCCGCGTCCCTCTATGGCTGAAATCACGCCGATGTTACGATGAATTTGAGAAGTTTAATCTATTAACAGGAAATAATTTATAACTTGCCTTTTTCGTTTCATTTAATGTTCTCGTATTTGACTGTAGGAATTTTGTTTAACAGCCTACCCTACACTTTGCTGTTATATACTACTCAAAAGCAGTCAAAGAACACCTGATTTTTTTCGTGTTCCTACAGTTAATCTGTCATGACGGCGAAGTTCAAGTTAATGGCAACATGTTATGACTTGACAGTTTAACTCATGTCATATGGAAAAATCGGGGACTCTTTAACTTCTTTTGAGGAGCATGTTTAACAGTGGAACAAGCAAGCAATGACTGTTGGCCTTAACAAATTATAAATAAATACTTCTATCTGGTTACGTTGACGTGAACGTCAGAGACGTAGATCAAAGAGAATCCAAAACCATCTATATTTATCCCAAGAGGACAGCCTCACATGTCAATGCTGACTCTGGCGTCCTTACTTCTAAATTTCCAAGAACTATTTTACAGAATCACATCAGGACCCGTGGGAACTATTCCACTTTTACAGTGATTGGTAGGCAGTCAAGGCCTAAGTGCATAAGATGTATATTTTTTAGAACCTCAGGGCTTTATGTCCATATATAAAAGGACGACGTCAATGTCTTAGGGGTATTCAGACTCAAAGAAACAAATGGAAACAACGAAGCTGCACTCACGGGCCATTGTTACAAGACAATAAGGAGGCCAAATGATCGACGTCCGCCAAGACCTACGATTGTTTCGGTGTACAATGGTCTGAAAGTATTGCCCCAAACTGTTTGATGTAAGAGAAACTTGTTTGGGCAACTTGTGAGTTCAAAGGCCAAGGCCCGTTCACAAAGCGATTGAAGCTGTATGAATGTCGTAACATCCAATGTTTAAGGTGAGGTGAAATTGGGTTTAACGTCGCGTCCAAGATTATTGCACTTATATAGCGACGTGCATGCACGTGTATGTGTGTGTGTGGCTGCTTGTACTAGTCCGGACTGATGCCGATTTATAGTGCTAGCTCACTGAGATACCATGCCGCAGTTTAACATGAATACCCCACTCAGACACAGTATACTGACTCCGAGCCGACCAGTCCTTGTTTTAGCCCCTTAATGCCGAGCGCCAGACAGGGTAACAACAAGTACAATCTTTTAACGTCTTTTTGTATGACGCGGCCCGGGATCGAACCCTGGACCTTCCGCTCTCCGGGCGGACGCTCTACCACAAGACCACGGAGGCGGTCTCCAATGTTTAACATTGACTAACGATAGTCATAGTGCTAACGTCGTTTTGTGAAACGTGGCCCAGATCTGAAACATCTCACTTAATGAAACAACTTTGCGGCGTTCCTTCGGTACAATTGTTTACGTTATCCTTTTCGTGAACACGTGATGTCATCACACGTTTTAAGCGATCTATTTCATATAAGTTTCACGCTGTTTTGCCTTTTGCGCACAATGGAAGCTGCTTCCTCGGACAATGGAGTTATTCTATGCATATGGTGTTGACGTTTTATGTTTAAGTTATCCCACTGTATTTTATCACACTGGTGGCCACATCAGCTTCACGCAAGCGTAACCATATCATGTGTTGGATACATGTACGTACTCTTGTAAAGGGGGTGACTTATATCTAATCTGCCATTTTTCTGGAGACGTAGCATAATGATGGCAGTATGTCAGACGCGTTGACGTTAAAGTGAGAGACGTAGCGAACTGTTGGCAGTATGCCAGACGCGTTGACTGTGACGTCAGAGATGTAGCTAACTGTTGGCAGTATGCGAGGCGCGTTGAGGTTATAATCAGAGATGTAGCTAGGTGTTGGCAGTATGCCAGGGGCGTTGACGTTAAATTTAGAGACGTAGCCAACTGTTGGCAGTATGCCAGACGCGTTGAGGTTATAATCAGAGATGTAGCTAGGTGTTGGCAGTATGCCAGGTGCGTTGACGTTAAATTTAGAGACGTAGCCAACTGTTGGCAGTATGCCAGACGCGTTGACGTTAAATTTAGAGACGTAGCCAACTGTTGGCAGTATGCCAGACGCGTTGACGTTATAATCAGAGATGTAGCCAACTGTTGGCAGTATGCCAGACGCGTTGATGTTAAATTTAGAGACGTAGCCAACTGTTGGCAGTATGCCAGACGCGTTGACGTTATAATCAGAGACGTAGCCAACTGCTGGCAGTATGCCAGACGCGTTGACGTTATAATCAGAGACGTAGCCAACTGTTGGCAGTATGCCAGACGCGTTGACGTTAAATTTAGAGACGTAGCCAACTGTTGGCAGTATGCCAGACGCGTTGACGTTATAATCAGAGATGTAGCTCAATGTTGACAGCATGCCAGACGAATTGACGTTAAAGTCAGGGTTTAATGATTTAAATCTTCTACACTGAAGTCGAAAGGGTCTGCGTGAATTAATACTGTTGGGTAGAGTTAACCACTTTTTAGATAACGACAGAGTCAACTCTGGCACCACCGAACTCAGAAGGCAGTTCTTTATAGCCGAAGTTAGTTTTCACATTAACAATACGTCAATTACACGTACACTTCTTGGGGGATACAGGTATTATAACAGACTATTCGCTATATTTGACCCCGTTATGTCCGGTGTTGATTACATTTCTGACAGAAACCAAAAGCGGTAAAGACAATGTTACTGTTACAAAAGTCAAAGTTTACTTAGCAAGAGCGGCTTTATTTGCACGGCGAAGGCTTAAACATTATGATTGAAGGCACTTATGTAGACTAAATGATTCTGGTTGAGAGATTTACAAATGTGGTGTCGGATGTCTGTTAGTTGTCCCACTGACTGTAACTATAGGGCAACATACATTTCGAGCGTTTATATGTCTGATGACTCGCCACTAGGTCAAACGTCAGTCATATCAAATAGAATTACTACCACTAGTTACATCTTCGACCTTTTGACCCGATCCCCCATCAACGTCAAACATGATCAATGACCGCTCCCTTCTACCGTACGAAGAAGGATACTTTGTGATTGGTTCACATTGGGGCATCGATCGTCTTGCTTGGGCTACTGGAAATAGCCAGGGAGTAATCAGTTAGTCCCTTTCATAAAAGGGATGTGCAACAATTTATCTGTAAACACTTTTATTGAGGGCGCAACATCGATGAAACATGTTTATTTTTAGACCTGCTTGCCAGAAATAGCGAAAGTGAAGTTTTTTCTATCCGTGATGACACTTGAATCTATGATCCTCCGGGAAAAGGAACGAAGCGTTATGAAATTTCAGCGTATTTATGTTGAGCGTACACATAGATCGTCTAGGTTCCCTGTATAGGGCTTGTTCATGCATCTCATCCACTAGAATTTATATCCACACCGTCAGAAGAATTAAGCGCCTATCTCCTTGGCGGATCGGTTTATTACGTCAGAAACTATTTTACTGTTTTCTTTGTTGGACATATAGGTCTTATTGTCTGAGCAGGTCATCAAACTGTAATACGGTGTTAACTGTATTTGTTGCTAATAATATGAATCACTAGATTGTCTAGCCCAGACATGATTTTTTAAGGCCGCCTTCATAGAACTACTATCTAGTACATCTATATAGAAATCTATGCTACGGTTCAAAGTAAGAGTACGTGTACGCACGTATAAAGCGTAAAATGGGTTTCACACACTGTACCCATGTGGGGAATCGAACCCGGGTCTTCGGCGTTACGAGCCAACACTTTAACAACAAGGCTATCCCACCCGTGTTGTGAGGAATCAGTACACGTAGATGATATCATTGCTCGGCACTGTTAAAGAATATAATCTGTGTTCTTCGCTTGAATTAGTTATAACGTTTGAAAAAATAAATAAGAACATTGGCATATAGTACTGATTTCATCAGATTTCCAAGCTTTGCCTCAATGAATAAAGCAACTTATTTTACAATATTTTTTCAAGACAGCATTGATGACGTAAATAAAATGCAGATAGCTATTTTGTCGGAATAATTTTGTTACAATCATAATCAAGTCACGTCGTATTATTGTTGATATCATGATGACCAAGTAAAGAATATATTACATTCGAGTGTGTCACCCGACTCAGTTTGTGAAACTCGTGTCAGAGAGAGAGCCCGACTTCCCTTCTCGCACTTGAAAGAAAACACTTGTTTCGTGAAATCACCTCGACAACGTTGTTGTGCTTGCATAGATTCTCTTTGATCAATGTTTTCTGCTGCTCGTACGTTGCAATTGAATTCATCTTTACTGAAAAGAAATCCCTCAACCAAGGAATCCAGGCAAGGGTCTAATCACCATAACTATTGCCGAGTGTGACTTCTATCATGTCTTAGCTATTGAAACATAAGAGGGCACAACATGGAACGTTGTGATATGAAGTGTTATTTATCAAAGTGAAGAGCATGATTATAGCTTCAATTGGAATTACTTTGTAACAGCATGAAGATCGAAGACCTTGTGTAATGATACTGAAACACTTTATTCTCGACACCCCAACTCGAATTGTTTTTTAAACGTGTATTTGCAGAGTGGTTTCTGTAATACTTCTGACGTTGACGTTGACGTTGACGTTGGAATACATGCGCATGCCTTCATTCCTTCGTCTTCCTAGTGAAAGAAGAAAAAGTCTTGGTTTAGGTTTCAACCTCTGAAATGTTTGTTATCGAAATTGACAATTTTTAACTAAAAAAGAATATACGCAAAAAATACATAAATAGAGTGTAGTTTCATTTCTCACAGGTGGGATCTTTTTTATACATATTGTCATGGTACCACTGTTTCAAAACATTTGATATTTTTATTATTCCTCATGACTGAAATAGATTCATACTGGTCTAAAATAATGTGTCAAATATTGTTACTAATTAAATACAGCACATTTACATTCGGATCGCAGTTTTGCATTAACAAGTTGGTGAAATTGATCGGAACATTAAGGCAAAGGAGATACCAATACGTAAAGTTCCAACATTCGAATCTGATGTATTACAAGTATCAATGGCTATTATATAATCGTGTTCATTCCATCATAGTGATCCCAACGTTATACAGCTGGAATATTAAACACCAGTTACCCACTCACTGTCATAGTGACCTCACACATCAGACAAATCTGTGATAAATATTATACTGTGCACTCTACCCTTCAACTTTTCTTGATGTTTCGTTTCAGTTTAAGAAAATATGGACAAACTATATGTATACTATTTTAGTTCCATATGCCCACTGCTTGAGTTCCTCGGCAAGATTTATTGTTCCAAAGTGGGCGTGGTGGGCATACTTTGGGACTTTCTCTAATATTTTCATTACAGTTTGTCCCTCTGTTACCGACCTCATCAAAAAGTGATTTTTCGCAGTCTCGTGATATTTTTTTCTGTTTGTTGCATTCACTGAAGTGACTGTTCCAAACCTTACAACTCATAAAATAAACTCCAGCTTTCTGCTTCATTTGAAATACTTCTTTTACATAAAAGTTGTACAGTTTTCTGTGAGCAGAGCATAACAAATGACTCTTGACTTTGACTAAGTCACATTTTTGCGATGAACATTTACTTAAGATGTATATGGTTAACCTCTTGTGGCGTTTTCGCGCTTTCAACATTTTGTTACAAAAAGTTGAGAAGGCGACAATGTCCTTCATAGTAATTCATAGACACACGCTGTTTTAAACTCTGTCGTGCAGGTGATGTATTGCATCAACCCTTTGGAAGTTGGCAGACCACTTTAAACTAATTAACATCGACTACGTTATCGAGTTGTGCCTGTTGACATTTATGGTTATTTTTCGTTTCTGGATAAAGAGGAGTTCCATGTCTTATTTGCCACAAGTCAAACTGTCATTCAAGACAACACATTGCCTTCAGCACATTGGTTGTGTCGATCAGGGGATAATGAATGGCCTTTTGCTTTCACGCCACATTTGTAGCCCGTCTGGCAATATTTTTACATGTATTCCACCCAAAACTCGAGCGGAATAAATGGTCAATCCCAGTAATACGATGCTACAAGTGAAAGGTTTAAAGCTTCCATTTATAGCACCATTGTTTGTATTTACACTTTACCCAAGTTGTTTTCAAGAAAGTTTAATATACTAACGGGAAAAAGTAACTGTTCTTCATATAACGTTCAATAAAAATAAACTGATTCTGAAATTAAATAATGCATATTTAAATACATATTCATGAAGACATCTCCTCGACTTTACGGTCGTGATTTACAACTTGCACGTGCATGTTGATGTATGGCGCATACTGTGGATGTTTGCGTGTTTGTTGGGAGCATGGTACACATACATGTGTTATTGTTATATGAACAGCACACGATGATTGTCAGCTGGCAGGTGCTCATAAAACACCTTTCTTTAACCATAAATAACGCTTACGCAAAGCCACGGCGTGTTAAAAAAACCACGTCTTCGCGCCGTGGGTACGCTGTAAACGGAAATGGCACAAACAGAAGTTGCCAGACATTTTGTTGTTTATCGAAACACAATCTTATCTCTTTGGAGACGTTGTCTACAGCAGGGCAACACTCAGGGCTCGAACCGGTCCGGTCGTCCACGTGTAACGTCTCGTCAACAAGACAACTACATTCGGTTGGTGCATCTACAGAATCGATACAAACTGCCACATTAACAGCTCGGACAATTTCTGGGTAGAGAACAATTAGTTGAAGGAGCACGACATCCGGGCCCGACGTCCAACGAGACGAACACTCGGGCTTCTACGTCACCGTCAGGCACGCCACCTTGATGCATTTGAGGTTCATAAAACAAGATTAGGACATGTTTTATCTGGACAGCTCTGATAGTCGTGCAAGGGTCCACAGGCATCAATGCGAATGTTTTCTTGCGTTACTCAACGTCGTCGGTTTAGGGTAGTGTAATGGAATGGGTGGCAAGAAAATACAAGAGAAAATACAACTCACCATTGTTAATTGCCAATTTGAATGGTGTGCGCTACTGGACGGCATCATTCGAGATCATGTTCTGCCCTGTGTGCATGTGTAGGGACGTGACGTCGCTTTGCAGCATGAAAGTGCCCACCCACATATTGCACGTGTTGTAACATACTTTTTGAGACAGCAAAACATTGTTGTACTGCCAGGGTCTGGTTTTCTCCAGACCGCTCCCCGACAGAACATGTCTGGGGCAAGATTCAACGACGTCTTCGACATGACCAGAACCAGGGGGTAACGCTAGCGCAGTTGGAGCAAGGTTCGGTTGACATTAGGAACAACATTCCACAGGCTGTTTTTAATCATCTGGTGTCTTCAAAGCACGCTGTCTCGCCTTCATCAACGCAAATGGTGGTGACACCCGATATTGACCTTGTTAATTGGGTTGTTACACCACACCTC